CACTGTTTGTTAAAAATAGTAGAGCAAGTAAAATTGTTTTTTGTGTATTTCAGAGAATTGTTATTACTACTGAAGCATTTTTCTGTAACAATAAACTAAACCAGTAACCCCTTCTTTCCACAAATACATGGTACTTTAGGCCTTAATCCATTATTTATGTAGTTGAAATAGTCTGCATTCTAGAAATTAAATTAGAGGGGCTGTTGCATGGAGTATTTTAATGGTTATCGCATCCAGCTAAAAAGTGGTGTCATGGATCTTGCATTTGGTTGTAAATCAATAAACTGCTGCATTCGTGTGGAGTCCTGCCAGTATCCGGGCATCTCCATGTGAGAGTCTCTCTGAGATCAGGAGCAGGATCGTGGGGTCACTTATATAAGATTTTGTGTACAGAAATACATGTGTCCGTATACTGGACTGATACTCGTGTCTGTAGCTTATACACAAAAGATACTAAGGTAAGTTTCCTGAATTTTGCTTTTACATGGGCAGATCATACATGTTTCGATGATGGTTATGTTTTTAGCTACTCAGTATGCTGTGTATTATGTTGTCTTCTCCTTTGGGAACATGTGTTTATATACGTTTTCTTAAAATCTATATGGACTATATAAATGGTGATAACGGATTTTGTTTCAACACAGATTAGTAAAAGAGTCAATTTTTTATTTCTTGGTGTCAACAAGTAAAAAGGAAAACTGTTTAGAAACAGACCCAGCAATATCCTTCTTCAGCTGCCTTCCAGCAAGTGAATAGTTTGCAGTTTGGTGGATGGTGAAGCAATTTTCCCTCAGAAGTATTAATATTTGAGGAGGAGAGGAAGGAATGTGTAAGTGCAGCAAATCTAAATACATAGGGTCAGTGCATATATGTAATGTGGGATCATCGGGGTAATCAGCAGGAGAGCCTGGCCTTTCCAGGCAGATCACCATTTGAAGATCTCGGCTTCATCAGTGGGACTGAAGGCTCAGCCATTACTGTGCTTTTCCATGCCTCAGCCTTAAAGAGCAAGGTTCATTTTTGTCTACAGGCATAAACCCAGAGTCATACTCACCTGTGATAGACAAGAGATGAAGCCTCTCCCTCTTGTGGAGTCCATCAGAATCTAAGTTTCAGAAGCTTATTCGGTGGCAAAATGTATCCTTAGCACAGAAATTTCTTACTCCGCTTTTGTGTTCCTCTAAACTCAGGAAACAATGGTCTGTTTGGACACAGGTGGGTTTTCACTGCTGCCAGCAGTATTTGAAAACCTGGCAAAGAATTTACGTATTCATGAATTAAAGTCTGATATAATCTTTATAAGAAAACATCAGGATTTTCACAATCTAGTTATTTTTCATATCACTGAAAAACTCTCTAAACTACGCACAGGGCGCTTGTGTGTGGATTTGCTAATGGGATGTGAAACTTGCTGTCCACAGAAGTTGTCCACATGTAGCTCATGGAGGTACACATTTTGTACATCTGTGTATTCACATACAGTCTAAAATGTTTTAATTTGTTGAAGAGGCTGTGACCGAGACAGGTGCATCTCCTGTTCTTGTTCGCTGTTGGTCAGCCCTTGCTTTCATACAGGGCATGGCGAGGACCCTGCGAGTGACAATACTGGTTCATACCACATTTGCTGGGACATCTTGAGTTTATTTAACCGCTCATGTAAATGACTGGATTGCCTTGTCCTTCATTAACCTGACTTGCAATGCTGTAATGTCTCACTGTGTTTAGTTGTTACCTCTTGGAAGACATTTTATGAAGCAAGGAAAATATTTATGATTAAGCATGAAGAGGAAGTATGTAAGATGTTTATATTTTCCATTTATCAGTACACTTCAGAGTGCTACTTTCTGAAATTGCATTTCTGGACTTCATAGTCAACTTTCACTGAGATGGTTTGTGCTGTGTAAGATTGCTAATTCTGTTGCCATATCCTTTATACGCTGAAACAAGAAGAATCTGCTGCTTTTTAAATTGGGGCCAAAGAGTAAATTCACCCTATTTTTATATTCAAGCCGGCTCAGCTTCAGGGGATTTAAGTGATGTAATTGTATTGTATTTGGCCCCACAACTAGTCCAACTGAAAAAAATAATCTTCAAAGTGAGTATTTTAGTGCTTCACGCAAGGCACATTGCTCAGTGTCTTGGGAAAAAAAAAAGTAAAGCTTTTCTTATATTTGTGAGCCGTGGTCCATTGTTGTACATTTGTTTTCTAAGTTTCTGTACAAATCTTAACTGCACAAAAAGTAGAGAGAGCTAGCTCCTACATCCTTAAAAAAAGAAGTTTTATTCCTGGTTATAATGAGATGTTGCATCTATTCATGGGATTAAGTCCTTAAAATAAAGGAAGGTGCATAAAACCAGATTCCTAAAATTTTACAATATAATATTTCAAAATAAAAATATATTCCTAAGGAAGAAGATGCATAAATAGAGGCTCACTAACAGCAGAAGGACTGGCATCTTGTCCTTTTACATTTAGATTTGTTGCATTTCCATCTGACTGGACCAAAAATGTTGTTCCGATGTCTCTTGACGCTTACCAGTGTGTATATGTTTGAATAAGCTTTGGGTTTTGGTTTTGTTTCCCGTGTGGTTTGGAAGTATTAGATGTATTTTGTGGGGAGGAAGGTTTGTTACCCAATGCCCGTAAACTGAATTAAGGATCTTTGGGAGGAGAAGTTGAGGTTTTCCCCGCTCAGTGTTTCCCCCCAAAGCGACACGTGTCTGGTGCTCCGCTGGTGAACCGTGCTGCTGCCCCGCTCCCGGCTTCTCCTTCAGGGTGTTGAGCCGTACGTAGGTCTCAGAAGATAGTTCATCCTCTTGCATATTCTTTCCTGTGAACTGCTGGTAGATTTTGTTCTGGGAGAGGGGAACGACATGCTCACCATCGTTCAGTATCAACTACTAACTTAAAAACTTCTATATTCAGCAGCTCCCTGGTACATGGGCTTCAAGGGGATAATTCAGCCAAGTGCCTTTGCTGCTAGAGCTGATGCATAACTAACTCGTCAGACCGTTCATATCATTTTTAGCTCTGGAGGCATCGTTGGTGTGCCCATTCTGAGAAACTGAGGATTTTTGTACTTGTAACTTTGATCTTTTGGATCCTCTGTAGTAGAAATTTAAATCCTAAATGCTCTCTTTGCCCGTTGAATTTATACAGGGAAAAAATGTTGATTTTGGTGTTTGGGATTTTTTTTTTTTCTGTGTAATTTTTATTGTCTTGTAAATGAATGGAGAATATGGTAACTTAGATCAATATACAGATATGCTTCCCTCTCAAAGGAGTTTAGAAAATGGAATTGCTGTGACAGTAGAAATAGAGGATATCTGCGTAGGGGCGATGGAAGCTTTCTAGCAAATTTGAAGAAAATTTGCACACGCTCTTCTTTGAACACAAAACCAAAAATGCAAAACAATTATCACCAAAAATGTGATACAGGATTTTGTTCTGTTTTGCTCTGGTTTTTGCTGGGTAAGAAAGGTATTTTCCTTTTTCTGTAAGGAAAATAGCAGTCTCCTTATGTCTTAAGTATTCCATCAGCTGTGAGTAAGGTACCAAAATAAAATATTTTTTTTAAAAATATGCATGATGAAAAAACTATAAAAGTAAACACTAATATACTTACTCAGAGCTTGTGGCATTTCTTTGATCTCTTTGCTAATAGAATTACCTTGCTCTCCTACACTGCAAACGGACACTTTGTGAAGATGTAGGATTATGTTCTTTGTCCCATTGTCAAAGTCTGGTATGAAAACCACAGAAGAGGATGTGAATACTGTAACTTTGGGATTGGCAGCTTCCTGACCTTTATAAAAGGCTTGCTCGGTGCTGTAATAGCTAGTTCAGTGCTGGCAAGGTGACAGACTAGATGAATTAGCTGGTCTTTTCCGTCTCTTATGTGTCAGATTCTTTGTTTTATATGGAAATAATTTCTGTCAAAATGGGAAATTTGTCATGAGGTACTTCCTCTGCCTGTAAAATGCAAATGTCAACCACAGGTCTGTTTGAATGTGTCTTCTGTTACAAACCAGTGGTGGAGCCAGCTTTGTCCATTGATGCCGCCGTTGTGTTCCCCTGTGCTTTAACACAAAGTCAGGCAACTCCACTGACTGGCGATAGTAGAAACGGGTAATGTAAAGTTGATAACGCTGCCTGATTGTTTTCTATGTGAGGAATCATATCAAAAATTCTTAAATATTTACAAGTTATCAGAATTTTTGCCTGTGATGTGTCAATATGGTGGATGTGTCTATTTTTTAGATGTGTATCTATATATGTGCGTGTACATAAGATGTTATACATGCGTTACTATTGATATACTATGATGCTGTAAGAAACCCGAACTGATTTCTATATAGGTATCAACATTAATATGTCAAATAGTATAGGCTGTTAATATGAAATATCTTTGCATAAAGATTTAACATCTGTCATTCCTTTAAAGGCTGAATAGCTATTACAGCATTATGGGTTTCTAATAGATTAGGAAAGTACCATATGTCACGCATTACCCTGCTTTGCATTTTGATGTATGTCAAGCGGTGAATAATCCTGCATCTTGTCTGAGGAAAGATGGCGCTGGGATAATTTTTTGTTTGTTTTTAATGGGAGCAGATGATCATGCTAAAAGAAATTCATTTAAATATCGGGGGGGGCAATATACTTTTAAAGGTGAGATTAAAAAAAAAGAGAGTTATACAGCGGGTAGTAAACCATTCAAACCAATGCAGACTTTGAAGATGGAGGTATTGTCGTAAGCTATTAACGCCATGTTTAGGTGTGCAAAATTCACCTAAAAAGTAAGAGAAAGCAAAAATACCTCTAGCCTTCTATTCCCTTCTTCAAAGTATTGCGAAGGGAAGTTTGGCAGAAGCGGGGACAGGAAATTGAAATCTGAATACTATTTTAAACTGATAGGGTTAAAGGCCTCTCTTTTACACTAGCACACTTGTTCTTTTATTTGATACTTGAACTCGGGAAATTTTCTGTGACTTTCTAGGGAGAAGGAGGAGCAGCTGACTCGGGTGACAGAGGTACAGAGGCTGCAAGCCCAGCAGGCAGATGCTGCCCTGGAGGAGTTTAAGCGGCAGGTGGAGCTGAACTCAGAAAAAGTCTATGCTGAGATGAAACAGCAGGTGAGAAGGTCACAATGCCAGCCTTTCTGAAACTCTGTCTCAGTAGGATAGCATATTCTGATCTTATAATGCCAGAAACACGCTTCACTTGAGAGTGCTACATCAAAATCTTTCACAATGTAGTGTCTTTGCTAGCAAGTCAAAAAGGGACGTTAGCAGTTGTTTCATCTTTCTAACAAAGCCAGAATTGTCATTGTTATAAAGATAGCTGCGGTTATGATACTGATTAGGGATTTTTCAGGAGTGAGAGTATAAAGTGTTAGTTTATACACCCCGATGGAACAACGTTTGTAATTTTCCACTTAAATGTGTGTCTCTTCCTACTCTTTTCGGAACGACTCTGTCTCCCGTTAATGAGGTCTTATAATCAGTTTGAGCCTAAACAGGGGCAGAGCCGTTGTGGCTGCTGGCAGTCATGTGCAGAGTGAAAATTAGTAGCAGGAATTTATGTAAAAAGATTTTAGTGTCTTAAATTGCTTATGGAGCAAACAATAGTTAAACCGTTGTCCTGGGGGTTTTACAAATGCGTGCCGCATTTCACTTATGAGTGAAATAAGGAACAAGTGACAGGTGATCAAAAAGAAGGGGAGAGAAGGGAGTATTTCCTTAACTTGCTCACGTAGTCAAAACCTCTCTACATATTTCAAGCTTGTAATTCTACCTGACCATATACTCAGTTTTCCAACCTCACCTATCATAACCAAACCTTGTCATTGACAGTAGGATGCTGCAATCTGATATTGTAATGGATTTCTAAGGATGCTGGCTTATAATTTAACAAATTCTCTTTTTGTTGTTCTCGTGAAGTTTTTTTTCTATAAATCCTCAACAAAAGTGAGAACTTAAGTAAGGCATCGCTGATATTTTTAAGACCCATGCAGACAGCAAATAATAAGAATTTGGAAATTAAAAAAGCATAGAACAAACTTAAAAAAGCAAGATTTGTTCTGCAAACTAGACCCATGAGGGCAATACGACAAATCCTACAATTTTAATCTGACATTTTCTGTGCTGTGAGAGTCTCCTCCACTTTCTTCACGATGACTTAAAATAATATCTTATTTCTGCTCCAAAAGGAATATAGTCTAATTCTAGAAATACTAATAATAGTTTCATTCACTTAAAAAAAAAAACAACAGCAAACAAACAATCCAAAACAAAAAAATGTGCAAAAGAATTTGGAAAACTTAAAGTCAATTGTCATTTAAAAATGACTGCAAATTTCTTTTAGAATATTCCTGTGTTCTGGGAAATTTTGAAAATAAATTATGCTGTACTCCAAGAATCAGCCATGGGTTTATTCTGTCCCTGCTTGCATGCTAAAATATAGAAATAGTAAATGACATTGTACGATTGAGCAGTACTGTTCTACAGGAACCAAGGTTCAAGGAAATACGTCAAAGAAACACTACCGAAGCTGTCTTCAGAGCTTTGTCCTTTCTCATTCTTCTGCACGCACATACTCTTTAGATAAATCACCCGTTAGATTGTAACATATTGGAAAATTCTATTTTTTGTGGTTAGGTGGAATGTATTACTTATAAAACAAAAACTGTAGCTATAGCAACACTGTACTTCTAACTACACCAGAAATATTGGGCTTCTAAAACCATTTTTTGGTGTGTGGTAAAGTTAATTATGGAGATAAGTAGGATGGGGTCTGGCATTGTCAGTTCTTGTAATCAATATTTGATTCATGGGCTTGGCTCTGTGATACTTTCGTGCCATCTGCTTCTTATTTTGTCAAGCTTGTGATTATTAAGAGTCACCTCATGCCCATTGGTGGGTGAGTGGTACATTTTTAACTGTAAGATCTGCATTTTTTTTCTAATAGTAACTAGCAAAAAGAGAAACAATACATAGACTATGTCATGGTACTTTAGATCTAGTGTTTCCTGGGTTTGGCAAATAATGATCAAGAGCCCTCATTGCACTTATAGGAAATACATGAATGTGGCCTAACGAGTAAAGCACAAAAGCCAGTAGAGTTAAAGCATCTTTGCATATGTTTTTACTATTTCACTTTTTAGAATGTTTTCAGTCTCTTAAAAATAAAAGCCCTTTAATAAAGTAACAAGATCTTTTATTTTTCTGGTTTTTGTTGAGCTGAGTAAAATATGGCTGTGGACATGCAATTTGAGTAAGTTTGGAGGCGGAGGAAATTATTCATAAAATACTCATTGAAGTCCCTTTTCTTAATAGCAGATAGTAGCAGTGAGGTTCAAGAGCTACTGGAAGGATAACTTGTTCCTTTCTATTCTATTTTTCCGCTTTCTATCTGGCCAGCTATTCCTAGTCCTGTATCTTCCTCCCTTGCTGCAGTATTTTCCAATAAAATGCTTTTCCTACTCAGAGTACTGCCTTTTCTCCTCCTTCCCTGGCTTAGAAGTGATGTCCAGGCCGATTGGCAAAGACATCTGTTGAAGACAGAGCACTCCCTTAGGCCAAACAGGATTTTGGCTTGGGGTTCAGGAATTCATGCGTTTCTTCTTTTGGTACAGCAGATGGACTTGTGGCAGCACTGGTCCTCCCGACAGCTACAGCCCTTTTCTGTCTTTTTTTAGAGAGACCGTTTGTTCGCTGCTTGTGTTGGGACCTAGATCTAAAAGTAATTGATGAGTCTGCACTGCAGCATAGTACTGTGTGTATATATATATTCCCCTGGAAACACGCCTGATGTACAGCTAACAGTTGTGCTTTTGATACAAAAGCCTTTGTTAATTGGGTTATGAAATTGCTTCCTTGATGCTGTGTGCTGGAATCTGTGGGACTCATTATTCAGAGGCGATGACTATCTTCAGAGAACTTTACTTGCAGCCAAATAATTCTCTTTTAAGTTATTTTACTGATTTAATGTAAACTTACTTTAAATGTGTAGTTTGTGCACTGACTCACACGATTTCCCTTGAATTTCCACAGGCAATATATTTTTAAGTGAAATATATTTAAGTCTTAAATATGTCTATAAAGAATTTTAACTTAATTTTGATGGGATGTTCACCACTGTCAAGTGAAAAACTGAGCCAATACTTTGTAATGAGGGAGTGACATGGTGTAGGTCATCACTATAGCCTTAAGTAACTAATAACATGCTATTCACTGAATATTAATTTTCACTCCATACAAATAGTATTTTTATCATTCTCAGCAAGTTATATTCATGTCTTTGATGGTTTGCAAACAACTGTAGAAACGTCAGGACATTTCAAGCTATGCCTTTTTAAAAAAAATTAAATATTCCCTTTCTTTTACCATGTAGATGGAGAAGGTTGAAGCAGATCTAAGCAGATCAAAATCGCTCCGGGAAAAGCAATCGAAAGAATTCTCCTGGCAATTGGAAGAGCTCAAGCAAAGATATGAGCAACAGGTCAGTTGGGTTGCTCCTTCGGGTGGAGGGGAGGAGGGACATCCTTTCCTGCAGATGTAGGCCAGTTCCTGTGGCAGGCTTAATCCTGTTCTCGCTGTGCGTTACTGTTCTTTGTATAAAGACAAAATTTATAGGTATGCCGAGTTTATGCGATGGGGGATAGAGGGGGAAGAGTCTACATAGAAAATATTTTTGTTTCCTCTTTGCAATCCTTTGTACCTCTGACTCTTTCAAATTGTTTCCCAGGCTTGCAGGTGGCAACACCTATTTTCATAATGGCAGATGAAATTATTTAACGTGTTATCTGTTTTTCTTCTTGTCAAGAAACAGCATTTTATTCTTTTTTTTGTCGCTTTTAACATGGGGAGTGTTCATATGAATGCTTGTTTTGGCCCACTGATGGTGATTTTTCTTCATTGTAATGTAATTTCAGGGTTGGGAAATATTCAGGAAACATTTGGGTGGAGACAAGAAAGTTGAGTTCAGTAGTGTTGCGAAGTGTAAAGGGAAAAAAACAGAAATAGAAGCAGACAAATTATTGCATGATATAAACTTGAGAGCTACGCAGCTGAAACAGCCCGTCAAACACTTGCATAAGGTGGTACTTTGTCATGAAACTAAAGTGGTGTCTGTTTGGTAACACCTGTTAAAGGATTGAAAAAATTTTTTTAGCAATGATGCAGTTAGTTCATAAGCCTGAAGTTCTCTCTTATCAATGTTTTTGCATGGATATAAGTTTACATTTCCACCAGGGAAATGTGGTTTCATTTCTGTTTATCTTCTGTGCTGGTAAGAGGATGAAATACTGCAGTTGGCTTGTGGTACGAGACCTGCTCTGGTCTGTCTGGAAGGGGCTTTTTCAACTAATTAAGGAACGGGATCACTTTGGTAGGTGTTGAGAGAGACCTTCGCCTGTGCCTGGGAGGAACAGTAGTGTGTTTTGTGCATGGCTCTCAACTTAGATTTGAATCGAAGGGAGTTTGTTGGTTCAGATCAAAGTATTTTCCTTATCCTCACTCAGAATTGTCAACGTTACCAACTGTGTTGTCACCTGACAAAGGGTGAGAAGCTGTCCCATGTAATAGATAGATATCCACAGGCGTTTTGTTTTACTGGGTGGTATTATTTATGATGCTTCTGTTTAAGGATTCAGGAATAGTCCAGATTGCAGAGGTATTGGGGGGTTTTGTTTCGTGGGTTTTGTCTTGCAGATGACCTCATTTGCCAAAAGAACAGTAAGAATTCTACCTCTCTGTCATGATTTAGTATAATCTCTGGAATAAAGGCTAGAAATCACAAATGCAGTCACTACTATGTAATCATGGCAACAGATTTTCTTCAAATTATTTATTCCTGTGAAAGCCATTGCAATAATTGCTTGCATTAAAGGTGAGGAAGTTTGGCGTGTCAATGAAAGGACGTACTGAAGGGAGGACAATGGGAAGTGTTGGGGTTAGCTGTGCGTCTGCCTTAAGGTGAATTTTTTAATGGAATCTTATATGCATATCATTTTAGTGATATGGTTGGTTCACTTTTTTCTTTACAGTTCTCATAATTTTAGAAGTCCAAAGTAAGCATTTGTTCAAAGATTTTGTTCCCAAGTTTAGGAACATGATCTATAGAGATAAGTAGTAATCTGCAGTTCATCAGATGTCATGACAATCCTATTCCTACCTACAAATGGTAATTTTTTACTTTCGGTGTACATGGCAAAAGCTACCAAGCCATAGATACAATCTTCTGCCAAATAACCTGTTGCTTTTGCACATTAAAGGAAAATGGTAATGCCTAGTAGTGTCAGGGTTTATTTTTTATTTGTTTTCTTGCATCATCATGCCTATTATATTCAGACCTTCTGGAGACTCAATCAAAAAAACCCCAAAAAACAAGAAATGAATGTGATACTTAAAACTTTTTTGGTGAATCTTTTTACATTGGTATTTGTAACAGTGTTGATATTGTGGTAAACATCAGTGAAAGCATTTTCCGCTAAGATGAGATGTTTACTGCTTCACTTTTATTTTATTTAGGATAACTATTTTTTACTGTAAGAAAGAACAGCTAGACTTTATGAAACATCACTGAAACCCAAGAAAAGGGTTTCAGCACTAAACAGCTAAACAATGAAAGCCTCAGAAGAATTTTCAGAGGAATCCTTTTTATGCCCTTTTTTAAAATTTATTTCTCTTCATACTTCATTTGGAATGTTCTTTGAAAGCTTGTGAACATGAAAACTATGTGACCCTTCCTGCAGATTGCAATGGGTTATCATTGGAAACGACGCTC